CAGAACTATGAGAACAAAACAGTCGTGTTTGAAAAGTTGCCTCTTTTTAGAGTATTTGTCAACAATAAGTTTGATGTCTTTCTTATATGAATTGGTGAACACTTTGGTCTTAAAGTGCAACTCTTGGAACACTTGATACAATCGTTTGGCATCGCTTTGAGAACCGACTCGTTCTCTATATTTGGAACCTTTGGGAAAATCAATTATATTGAATATAAGGCAATATCCGCGAGGATTGGATTCCATTGCATAATAATTGGGACCAATCATTGGTTGCGGACAACTCTGCACGTGAAGCAGGGCTTCGGTGGACACGGGTTGAGCGACATGTTCTTCGGTTGGACTTTGGGGCAAATTGTCCAACAATTTGTTCATACCTTCCGCTGCGGTCTTTTCCCAATGTTCTGCTTTTGTGTTTAGTATGGGTTGTGGTGTCGCTGTAGTGGGCGCTGGCGGATGAGCTAATCCAGCGGATGATGTCTGTGGAGCCGATGCAATCGGCGGTGACATTTGTGATGAAATGATGGACAGCAGTGATGGAACCGATGGCTGAGCCAATGGTGCGGACATATCGGCGATGCAATACTGTGTGGGAATGGATGACAAACATTGGGTCGAGTGTTGAGATACATGAGATACTGCAGTTGGCATTGATTGAAGTGTGGGCACCGATAAGCGGGCGGATTGTATCAACTCATCCAAAAGGGATTGACTGGCATTTTGGTGGTCACTATCGGGACAACTATTGGCACTCATTTGTTGTGTATGTTATAAATATTGTAAATTTAAATATATGTTAAATAATGATTTGAATCGTGAATTGTGTAACAAAGGCTAATATCGGTACTAAATATTATAACAATTTAATAATATTAAACCAATACATGCATTGAATTTAATTGTAATGATTGAAACAACTAATAAGTTAAATGGATTCAAATCTGGCTTTCATTCTAGACGTCTCGTCACGTGTTTAGGTGATTGAATTGTGGTAAAAAACGTGGTATATAGTATGAGAAGTTGTGCCACTCATGTACCCTCACTCAATGCTGTGCTATGCTGTGCACCTATAGCTTAGCTGCCTTATATCAAACCTTGTTTTTATTTTATATATAAAGCCTTGTCAAAGGCAGGGATGAATGCTAGGCTTAACAGTGCAACTACGACTACAGTGCTATCACATGCGGGATTCGTTGAGCCAAAATTTCATCGGGGGAAAGGACTGAGGAGAGGGGGGTAACGAAGCCCTGATTCAAATGATAGGAATGACAAATTTCATCACAATATTATGTAAAAAAGTTGTATAAAATCTATGTCATTCACTTGCTTACACAGTAAGAATAAAGTACACGCATATTATATAATACTGTAGCACTGTAGGAATTTCTATGTGCAATGTATAAACAACCCCATGAATAATGATATGGCTAAAGTAGCGGCAAATACAACATACAATGCTCTGTCTAAATGATTTAGAATACAATTTTGAATTAAAACTATAGTAAATATTTAACAATAATTGCTGTTTTGAATATAAATATTTGTAATAAAATGTAAATGTAATATGAAATGCAGATATAAAAAGTGTAATTTATGAATTCGTTAATATTTATTACTTTAAATATTCTTTCGTACAAAAAGTTTATATTAATTATTATAATATTAGTGTTTTGGCAATTAATGAATTTAAATATATTGAGATTTGTTGTCTTAAATAACAATTATTTTGTAGAGATTTCGTAAATGATTAGATAGAAGAGGCAGTTTATGGACAGAGAATCGTTTATATTATATCATGATTTACATTAAAAATTGAGCGCTTAATCAATTTGTAGTAACATTATTAGTGGTAGAAATAGTATCGAAATGACCAGGATTGAAATGGAAGCGTTTATTAAAGCCCCTCATAATAACTTCAACCACTTGTTTGCCCCGTTTGCCATCGTCTTCGATGTTTTCTTTCTTTGAAACATGTGAAGAAATCTATTCAACAAATACATCAATTTTAATATGGATTAATAAACTAAATGTTATGACAATTACTTTTGTAAGAAGTATAGGTAATTCCAATTCGTGAGCCATATTAAGGAGTACACTGGAGATGGCCATTCCCAGCCACGAGCCCGTACCTGGATTTCGATACGACACGTATCCGTCAAGAGTTGAATAGCATATCATAACATCGCTAACTGTCGGCACTTTCGCTGGAGGTTTTGGTTCAGTTGTGTCCTTTGGATCGTTCCCTTCGTCGGCAACACTTGTATCGAAATCCAAATTCTCACTTAAAGCTTGTACTTCATACTCAACGCCATAGTCTCTGTCGTCTGTAATTAAAACAAATATTTTTACAAAATAAAACGACTTTCAATTCAATGAATATATACTTCCGCGACAACAGCTAAAGAAGAATAGCTTCGGTTTATTAATGAGATTTTTGCATTTTGTGTTATTTAATTTGTCGACAATATCTTTATATGCGATATACCGTCCATCAGATGCTAAATAATAACCATAATATTACTATTAATATAAATTACTATATTTTTAACTATTTTATTTAAAAATGTCTCAAATTTAGTCCAATTACCGACAAATACTCCGCCACTCACTCCGTGTGAGAGAACAATGAGAACAAAGCAGTCGTGTTTTGAGAGCTCTTTCTTTTGCGAGTATTCTTCGACAGTATTTTCGATGTCATTCTTACTAAAATTGGTGAACACATTCACCTCGAAGTGCAACTGTTCAAACACTTCCGTTAACCGATTGCCTTCGCCTTCAGAACCGAATCGATACGGAAATTCAGTCGAATGGTTGGGGAAATTAATTAAATTGAATATAAGGCAATATCCGCGCGGTTTGGATTTCATGGCATAATATTCGTCATCAATCATTAATTGAGCCGATGTCTGGACGTGAAGCAACTTTTGTGCGGACTGGGGCTCACCGATGGTTGGCGCCGGCAAAAGGAGAAAACTGGCCACCAATTGGTCCATTGCTTTCGCTTCGGTCTTCGACTGTAACTGTGATGAGTTTGGTATGGGTTGTGGTGTCTCTATAGTAGGCACTGGCAGTTGAGCTAATCCATTGGGTGATGTCTGTGGAGCCGATGTGGTCGGCGGTGACATTTGTGATGAAATTGTGGGAACCGGTGATGGAGCCGATTGAGTAGATTGTGTGCCGCCATCCGGATCTGCTTTACCATTGATTTCACATATAATTTCGGACATATTATCATTTATTTGTTATAAATATTATAAATATTTATAATTTTGACTTCAATATATTCAATATGACTTTAATCGTAAAATAAGTAAATTTAAGGCCAATATCGATGTTAAATATTATCACAATTTAATTATTTAATCAATAAATATATTAAATTTAGAAATAACATCACAATTATTAGCATTGGGCACTAGAGATGTTTACGGGCTAATAATTAGGGTGACCAACATATAAACTTTAAACATATCTATTGAATACTCATTTTTAATCTCTTTAATTTATTAGAAATAAATTTATATTTCTGGAAATTTCGAGAAATATATTTTTTTCAACATTAATTGACTTCTGTTTCCGTTTTGTTTCTATTGTTCACAAAAGCGCTCACAAATAGCAATACAATTATAAATGAATGCCACATGTATTGAATACACATTTATTGCTGTCATTTGTATTAATTAAGTGTTAATTTATATATTATTTGTGCCTTTAGTTTTATGTCTCTATTTGTACTGAAAAAAATGATTCAATCAATGATTTGTTGTTTTTTATTAAAATTTTGAACAATTTTTAACCACTATTCTGATAGGAATAATGTGGTTTATAGGATCGTTCGGGCCCCCTCCCCCACCCTATGGGATTTAACATGGGATTACAGCTTAAGTCTATGGCTATATTTTAACATGGGTAATGCTAATCCTATGGACAATGCTAATTCAATGAGACTAATGCTAAGTCTATGGACAATGCTAACTCAATGTGACTAATACTAATCCTATGGACAATGCTAATTCAATGTGACTAATGCTAAGTCTATGGACAATGCTAAATCTATGGGGAGTGCTAATCCTATGGACACTTATTGAATGTGTAGATAATGCTAATCTATTCTTTGAGAATCACCCGAATAGTGGTTAACGTATAGCATCGCTGTGTGACCTTGTTTTGGGAAGGTTTTTGCCATTAAAATCGACGAATTGATTAAAACAAACGTTTTGTTTGTGTTTTGGACTCAAAACGGCGTTCAAGTAATTAATTGTGATTTTAATTACATTTCGTTTGTATTGAAACAAATGATTTAAATTAATATTCATAAATACATTAAAATTTATATTATTATTTATAACAAATATTTAAATTAATATTACATTTTGTTAATTAACCTTAAAATTATTATTATTTGCTAAACAATTTGATTTTATATTAAATTATTATTATACAAATTCACAAGATTTTTTGAAGTTATTACCTGGTTACTCTAAAAAAATCAGACGCGTCTGGATTTTGCCCATAGCTAGTTATGGGCCATAACTTATGGCCAAATTCTGATTTTTGTGACTACATTTCTTTACACTCCAGTAAAGTATAAAGTTGTATACAGTATAATACACATACAGAATACTACTTTACATGAATCTATCTGGTAATATTGCGATAATATTCTAGGTCCTAGAGTCTATGTTATCCCATTTCATAGAGTATTCATAGAGAATTTCGTATTTAATTAAATTTTATTTTTATTTTTCCAATTTTTATCATGATACAGTATTGCTAAATTATGCTAATATTATATTATAGTGAAGTAATGAAAATTGTTGAACTCAATATTTGAATGATCATATATTTTGATTTACAACTCATAATTTTAAGTTAAATTTCTTAAAAGTTATACAAATTCTTTAGTTTTAGATTTTTGACGATTTTTAAGATTACTTTAGTTCAACATTATTTTATTATAAAATTAAATTGTATTTTTGCTTTCATTTATTACATTAGAGATGAAATTTATTGTCAAATCTGTAAGCAATTGACAAATAATCAAAGTAAGAGCTCTCACGCCAGAGGATGGATATTACTCTCTCTTTGCGTCGGATGTTTTGCTCCTTCAGAAAAGGTTTGTCTTTTTGTATACAATTATTACAAATACGGGAAATAAATGCTTAGAAATTTCATATAAATTTTCAGAACAAACAAATGAAATGATTTATACTTTGATTTATGTTTAATGTTTAAATTTTAACAAAAACTTACACTCTTTTTACACGAATATATTTAAATTAAATTTCAATACAATTACAAGTCTTTAAAGCATACTATAGTATAATCTGTTTAAATGCCATTACAAGTGAAATGCCATTTGAACCCAATGTTGAACTCAAAGGCAACCAAACTGTGTAGAGAAGACACTGACAGTGAATGCAGATAAACATTATATTCTTGTGCTAACGATAGTGTTATTGTGCGACAACTCGTAAGCAATGACCCGTATATTGAAAATACCTTATATTCAAATCAAATATATCTTATTTCATAACTGCATATAATTAACGAGTAACATTATATTCTTGTGCTAACGATAGTGTTATTGTGCGACAACTCGTAAGCAATGACCCGTATATTGAAAATACCTTATATTCAAATCAAATATATCTTATTTCATAACTGCATATAATTAACGAGACGACAGTTGCTTTGCGAACATTTGAATTATAATTATTTCCCGTTTTTATTAAAAAGAAGCTATAATTGGCTGAAATTTTGAGTTTTTTAAAAGAAATTTTCTCACAATACATGCAATTAAATAACTTTTCAAAAGCGTTTCACCATTTTTTCAAACTTTTAAAGTCAGATCGTATCGTTTGTTTTGAAGTTAACAAAACTTTTGTCACTTATTCCTATAGTTTGTGAAATACTTACTAAACTTTATACGAGAGGGACCCCCGGGTTACGCCCCCTATTGCGAGGACAGACTGCGGCGAACATTCAGGAACGGGACTCGGGGTCAGCCGCCGTCGTGGCTCGAACTGCAGGCCACCAAATCGAAGAAACCACTGATGCTTCCGATCACTTTCATGGACGGCAACACCAAAACACTGTTAGCCGATTCGGCGACCACTGCGCGCGAACTCTGCGCTCAATTGTCCGACAAAATCAATCTGAAAGATCAGTTCGGCTTCTCGTTATATATCGCACTCTTCGACAAAGTGTCGTCTTTGGGCAGTGGAGGCGAACACGTGATGGACGCCATCTCGCAGTGCGAACAGTACGCCAAAGAACAGGGGGCTCAGGAGCGCAACGCCCCCTGGAGGCTGTTCTTCCGGAAGGAGATCTTCGCCCCCTGGCACGACCCCACCGAGGACTCGGTCGCCACTAACCTGATATACCAACAGGTGGTCAGAGGAGTCAAATTCGGGGAATACCGGTGCGAAAAAGAGGACGAATTGGCTATGATTTCAGCCCAACAGTACTTCATTGAGTTCGGCGAAGATATTAAGACCGATAAATTGGTGTCAGTTCTCACGAACTATATTCCAGACCATTGTCTCCAAACTAATGATAAAAGTGTGGAAAAGTGGGCGAATCTGATCATTGCTGCCAATAAAAAAGTATAGTTTCTAATGAAGTGGTCTTTTATCCAATGATCTAATTGTTTGTATATTTGATGTGTTTTTAGAGTTATTTCTATAAAGAAAAGGTTTCACATTTGAAGATCAAAGAAGACATCGTAGAGTACGCCAAATACAAATGGCCACTACTTTTCTCCCGATTCTATGAGGCGTTTCGAGTGAACGGTCCGATTCTGCCTAAAAATGATGTCATAATTGCCATAAACTGGACGGGAATTTATATGGTTGACGATCAGGAACAGGTCCTCTTAGAGCTCTCGTTCGCTGAAATCACAGCCGCTGTCAGTCAGAAGACGAGCAGACCTTTTATGCAAAACTTTATATTAAACACCGTTAGAGGAGAGGAATTCACATTTCAGTCACCAAACTCTGAAGACATCTGTGAACTGATCTCATTCTTTTTGAATGGATTAAAAAAGAGGTCAAAATTTGTGATCGCTTTGCAAGACTATAGAGGAGAGGGACCGACAGTGTTATCGTTCAATCAGGGAGACCTCATGATACTCGATGGCCCTTATGGTGGAGATTATGTACTCAACAATCCATGGGTTTTGGCCAAACTGGAGAAGAATGGCGAGAAAGGGGACGTTCCCACTGAATATGTGTATGTCTTGCCGACCACAACAAAGCCGGCGCCCAGTATTCTATCGGTGTTTAGTTCGGATAATTTGGATGAAAACAGTCGACACCTCTTTAGTTACCCTCAAGTCAATGGATTCGATGCACACGAAAAGCCGCATACGTTAGAGGAGTACTCGATCGACCACTTCAGGCCTCCACCCAAGTATACTCTGCCGCGAACTCTCACATTCTCTTCTGCCAGAAAACGAAATGTCGACCAATTGTGGCGACACTCCAGAGAACCCATAAAACAACCGCTTCTTAAGAAATTGTTGAACAAAGAAGATCTCATTCAAGAGAGTTGTTTCGCTTTTAATGCGATCCTTAAATATATGGGAGACCTTCCGTCCAGACGTACCCGAAGTGGCAATGATTTAACGGATCAGATCTTTGAAGGGCCGCTCAAATTCGATATCTTAAGGGATGAGATCTATTGTCAGATTATGAAGCAATTGACTGACAATAAAAATAGGTCAGAAAATTAACATATTTTGTATTTCTTACAAATTAATTAAGAAGTATATGTTTTGTATGAATGTTATGTTAAATCACATCTGAAATACATTTTATAGATTAAGCGAAGAGAGGGGTTGGGAACTGATGTGGTTGTCAAGTGGTCTCTTCGCTCCGAGTCAGACACTACTCAGAGAATTGACACTCTTTTTAAGGACACGAAGACATCCCATAGCTATTGATTCATTGCAACGATTGCATAAGACATTGAGGTATAAACTCGTTATTAATAAACAATTATTAATATCTCAATTGCGGATTATTTTCAATATTTTAAACTTTGAAAACAATTATCTTTAGGAACGGTCAGAGAAAATATCCGCCGCATTTGGTAGAGGTTGAGGCCATTCAACATAAAACAACTCAAATCTTCCATAAAGTGTACTTTCCTGACGATACCGACGAAGTATTACTCATTATTACTCATTCATTCAATGAAATGCTATATAACAATTGATTTGCTTATTATTTAACAGGCATTTGAAGTGGACTCGAGTACCAGAGCTAAAGACTTTTGTCTGGATATTGCACAGCGTCTGAGTCTACGAACTGCTGAAGGCTTTAGTCTTTTTGTCAAAATAGCCGATAAAGTGATTAGTGTTCCCGAAGCCGACTTCTTCTTTGATTTTGTTAGACATCTAACCGATTGGATTAGAAAAGCCCGGCCTTCCAGAGATGGTCCGAAACATAGACTATCAAAATATACATTTTTCTAATCTATAAATTCTCATTTCTTGATGATTAGGATCTGTGCCTCAGTTTACTTATCAGGTGTTCTTCATGAAGAAGTTGTGGACAAATACTGTTCCGGGAAAAGATAGAAATGCAGACCTTATATTCCATTACCATCAGGTTTTATACATTATATTTAATACTTTTTGCAGTTTATTAATTGAATGGTGTTTTTGAAGGAATTACCAAAACTTTTAAGAGGATATCATAAGTGCACTAAAGAAGATGCCGTAAAATTAGCGGCACTTATACTTAGAGTTAGGTTCGGCGAAAGCAAAGCTGAATTACAAGCCATTCCGTATGTTTT